CACACTACTCATACCTTGCCTCATTGCTGGTTTCTGGCCCAGTCCTGTTCATGAAGCCAAGCCTTCCTTCTGGTTCCTGGTCCACTGCTCTGATCCTAACTCCTTATCCTGCTTTGGTTCCTATTTTTCTACTCCACTACTGGCAGCTTACCCTGCCTCTGTTCTACTAACCTTACTTTGGCAGAGTCATTTGGCTCTGACATAGTGCAAACTCATTGACCTTAATTCCAATCTGATAGTATGGTGTGACATTCTACTGCTACTTTTGGCCTTGGACCCTCTGAACTGAACTGAACTCATATTATGTCCCTTATAACTCAGACCCTGGCTTTGACCCATACCTTGCACGTGAGATCCCCATACCTAGCCCAAGTGAGAGGAAAGTAAGAGTGACCATACTGCAAAACACCATTCAAGCTACACAGAGTGATTGGATTATCAAAGTGATTCTGTGAGACAGTAATAAGTTGCTGTAATTCAAGTTCCTGCATCTTGTTGCATTACTAGCACAGCAGTACTCAAACTTTAACACATACACACCACAATTCTCCAAGACACTATCTAGCTGAAATGTAAAGCATCACTTAATTTGGCTAGAGGTTTGTTTTTGTTTGTGTACAGGAATCAGGTTAGGGAAAAATTCAAGTTACACCTTGAGCTAACAGTTCAGTGAAGACAAGCCCTTTGTTTCTTCTGAAGAGTGCACATGGATTCTCCTCTTAGTGCTCATGCACCCTATTTGTACAAACGAATCTTTTGGCCAGTAGTGCCCAATAGGGCTATGCCCGCTGTATGTTGCACCTGCCACCCAAGAGCATAAAAGGTGGAACAATCCCTGCTATCCCTCAGTTCCTTTTTGCCTCCTGTGACAGCAAGAATGAACCCTTCCAGTGTCCACCTACTTCTCTGTGCTAATGCTAACTATTATTATTAATTATTTAGTTCTTAGTGAATAGTTTTAGTTATTTTTTTGCAAGTTGGCACCAAAATCAGATTTTTTTTTTTTGGCGAGATATTCAGCTTTTCTCTTCTAGCCAGTAGAGATGCTCAAACAATATGGAAAAAATCAAATTCGCAATGTTCAAAATCTCCTTCAATGCCATTCACCTGCCTCTTTTGTTTAGTAGAGAAACAGCAAACAATGTCCCAAGGGAAAGAAATCTTAAGAGAAACAGTTAAGGGCAGCTAGAATTCTCAAAGGGACAACATTAAAGGAATAACCACAAACTATCCCAAATCAGAGGAAAGATGGGAAGAAATAAATATAGCTGCATCAGGAGCTCTTTAATTACCTGAAAATTAAAAAGGAATAATAAAAAGAGTGAAAACAAGGACCAATTGCTAAGATAAGTATAAAAGAAGAGCAGAAGCATGTAGGGACAAAATCAGAGAAGCATAGAATGAGTTACAACCAGAGAGAGACATAAAAGGCAATAAAAAGGTTATATAAAATCAGTAGAAGTAGGATGAAGGAAAGTGTAAATCCATTACTTAACAAGGAAGAAGGGATAGTAATCTATGGCACAAACAGTGTGTAAGTGCTTACAAATATCTACAATATCTCTGACAGATATTTATCTAACATGTTAAAAATTTCCAGTGACAAGAACTACACAACCTTTCTTCGCTATTCTTACAGTTCGTTTTCCTAGGCTGTGTCTACATTGGCACACCTTTCCGGAAAAGGGATGCTAATGTAGACTTCGGAATTGCAAATTCCGCTGGGCTTTGGCTGTGGATTGAAGGAGCCCTGACCTGAAAATCATGGTACTGGAACATACCAGGTTCCCCTATTGGCCATTGGGGAAATAGCATTTTCATGGACTGGAGGAGTGCTGGGAACTATAACCAGACCAGTGAGATGTGGATACCCCAGTAGAGGAGAAATACGTTCTGATCTGCATGGAGGGCCAAACCATGATGAGGGAGCAACCCCTGGAATGTGGGAGAAGCCACATCATTATTGAGACACAGAGTAGTTTGTCAGACTGGGTGACGCTATTCCTTAGATGCATCGGGGAAGGGTAGAAGGGTACATCAACTAGAGTATGTCTACACTACAAAGTTAATTCGAACTAACTTAGTTCAAATTAGTTAATTCGAACTAAGCTAATTCGAACTAACGCATCCAGACTAAAAAA